AGATTTCACGTGGCAGGTTCTTGATGACCTCCATAACAGTGATCATTTCCCCATCCTCGTTTCCTTTTTCTCTTTCCACCCTCCTCTTTCCTTCCCTAGATGGCAGTTTGCCAAGGCTGCCTATTCACCCTCCGTGCTACTCTCTCTGACCTCTCCTCTCTGCCTCTTCCTCGCGCCCTCCTCCTTTTTTATGACACTGTCTTCAACACTGCCCTCAGCTCTATCCCTTGCTCTTCCTCCTGGGGCACACGGAAGTGTGTTCCCTGGTGGAATGCAGACTGTGCTCGGGCTGTCCGCTGTAAGCGTGCAGCCTGGAAAAAACACCGCCGCCGGCAGACGGCTGAATCTTTTATTCTGTTTCGGAAGGCAAGTGCGGTGGCCCGTAGGACCATCCGTACTGCTAAACGTAAGAGTTGGAAATCTTATGTTTCCACCATTACGTCCGATACTCCTCTACCGCAGATCTGGAAGAAGATCCGCAAGATTGTGGGCAAGTTCGTTCCAGATGTTTCGCCTGTTCTCCACCTCCGTGGGACTCTTGTGGCAGATCCAGTGAAGGTCGCTGCCGAACTGGGTTCCCACTTTTCTTCTGTTAGCTCTGGTACTCATCTTCCTCACTCCTTCCATCTTTGTAAGCCTGTTCTTGAATCTTCTCCTTTAGATTTCCAAACTCTTCTCTGCCTTCCCTATAACGATCCTTTCTCTCTTTCTGAACTTCGGTCTGCCCTGGCCCTCTGCGGATCTACGGCAGCAGGCTCGGATGACGTTCATTATGAGATGCTTCGCCATCTCCCTCCGTGCACGTTTCAATATTTACTGAATCTGTATAACCAGGTCTGGGAGTCGTCGTCTGTCCCTGAGGACTGGCTCAATGCCGTTGTACTCCCTATTCGGAAACCAGGGTCTCTCGGTACGTCCCCTAAGGACTTCCGCCCTATTGCTCTCACGAGTTGTGTTTGCAAGCTGTTTGAGCGTATGGTAAATGTCCGTCTGATGTGGTTCTTGGAACACCATCACCACCTCTCTCCTTCTCAATTTGGTTTTCGCAAGTGCCGCAGCACGACTGATGTCCTGGTAAACTTGGAGGTCTATATTCGTACTGCTTTTGCTGTGAAGACCTCCATTGTTGCTGTCCTTTTTGACCTGGAAAAGGCTTATGACACGACTTGGAGATACCATATTCTGTCCCAACTTCGTTCTTTTGGCCTTCGTGGTAATCTCCCTCTCTTCCTTCAAAGCTTTCTCTCTCGTCGTATCTTTCGAGTCAGGCTTGGTGCCTCTCTCTCTGCCTCTTTTCGGCAGTATGAAGGTGTGCCCCAAGGTAGTGTTCTTAGTACTACTCTTTTTCTGGTTGCCCTCAATGGTCTCCTTTCCTCCCTTCCTTCTGCCATCTTCTCCGCTCTTTATGTTGATGATCTTACTCTTTGCTGTTGAGGTGATGATTCGCCTCTCCTTCAACGGCGGCTTCAACTTGCGATTGATGCCGTGTCATCTTGGGCCACCGATCATGACTTCAAGTTCTCTACTACTAAGACTTATATGGCACTTTTACTCGGAAGCGGGTCGTTCTTCGTCCCTCTGTCACTTTATGGTCATCCCCTTGAGTACAAAGATTCCACGAAGCTTTTGGGGTTATTCTTTGACACTCGTTTGTCTTGGTCTCCCCATATCTCTTACCTCCGTGTTGAATGCTCTAAAGCCCTTAACCTACTTAAGGTTTTGTCCCATACTTCTTGGGGAGCGGATAGGCGCATGCTCCTCTATTTGCATTCCTCTCTCGTCCTGTCTAAGCTCGATTATGGTTGCCCTGCATACTCTTCTGCTTCTCCTTCTACTCTTCGCCGTCTTGATCCTTTGCACCATACTGGGTTGCGCCTCAGCTCTGGTGCTTTTCGTTCAACTCCTACCCTCAGCTTGTACGATGACACTGGCTTTCTGTCTCTCCAGGATCGTCGTGACCGCTACAGTCTTCGCTATCTTGCGCGATCCTTACAGCATCCTCACTCTCGCCTATATCGTGCTTTGAATTTTACCCCTCCTGTAGTTCTTGTTCCTCTTCACCACCTTCCTCTTTCTGTCCGTTTGTCTCGCTTACAAGATTCTCTTTCGGTTCGTCTTACTAATGTTTCTCCTTGTATTGTTCCCTCCTTGCCCCCGTGGAGGGTCCCCCTTCCCAAATTTTGTACTTCTCTGACCCACATCACTAAAGCTTCTACCCCTCCTACAGTTCTGAAACGCCTCTTCCTTGAGCACTTTTCTTCTTACTCCCACTCCGTTCCCATCTTCACCGACGGGTCGAAGTCTGCTGACGGTGTGGGCTACTCTGTTGTTTTTCCTGACCACACTTATATGTGTTGCCTTCTTCCGGAGGCTAGCATCTTCACAGCAAAACTCTGTGCTATTCTCTATGCTCTTCGTCTCCTGCTTTCCCGGAGGCAATCCTCCTTCGTGGTAGTAGTTGACTCTCGTAGTGCCCTCATGGCTTTAGGGTCCTTTAATCCAGTCCACCCTGTGGCCATTGAGATTCAACATTGGCTGTTTCTTATCTCCAGTAAATTTAAGTCAGTTGCGTTTTGCTGGGTTCCCAGCCATGTTGGTGTCTCTTTAAATGAGCGTGCGGATGCTGCTGCTAAGGTCGCTATCCGCACTTGTCCCATCTCCCATAAAGGTGTTCCTTATTCTGACTTTTACCCAGTTATTCATGCCTCCATCCTTGCCCGATGGCAGAGTTGTTGGTCTTCTGTTCTTGGTAACAAACTGCGTACTCTTAAGAGTTGTGTGTCCCAGTGGCCTTCCTCCTGCCACCATAACCGGCGGTGGGAAACGGCTCTGGCTAGGTTATGTATTGGCCATACCCGTTTAACTCATGGTCACTTAATGGAGTACCGCCCTGCTCCTTATTGTCTGAATTGCATTGTCCCTCTTACGGTCGTTCATATCCTTGTTGAATGTCCTGACTTCCAGGACGAGCGTGTGTCTTGTTTTCCGACTGTCCCCCACGGTCGCTTGTCTCTTGATAGAATTCTTGGCGACTCGGATACTTTTGATATCGTTCGCCTTATGCGTTTTTGTTCTCGTATTGGTATCCTTGGTGATATTTAGCGCCCTCTGATTATCCTGCACTTTGATGGTGCTATATAGCCTTCCCGGTTTGGTGCCTTCTATTGATGATTACTTACTTACTTTCAAAAAACACGCTTTTACCTGTCAAAGGGGTGGCATCTATATTGTAGGTATATAAAAAGACGCACCTATTCGAATGCATTGTTGTATAAAAATTTCAAAGCAATCGGTAAAGAGGTTTCGAAGTTTTCCCTCACATGAAAAACACAGTTTTCAGAAAAAGCATGTTTTTTTGTTTTTTGTTTTTTACCGTCACAGACGTGACATCTATATTGTATGTATATAAAAACCTGCTCGGATGCGAATGGAACGTAGTGTGAAAATTTAAAATCGGTGAAGAACTTTCGGAGATTAGCGATTTTGAACAAACGAACATTTCCATTTTTATTTATATAGATATATATATTAGGATGGCGACTGTATGATGTGTATATGTTTGCAGACGATTCTGCGATGTGTGAATGTGTGTGTAATGTACTCACCTCGATGTGTTCGCGGGGGTTGAGCTCTGGCTCTTTGGTCCCGCCTCTCAACCATCAATCAACTGGTGTACAGGTTCCTGAGCCTACTGGGCTCTATCATATCTACATTTCAAACTGTGTATGGAGTCAGCCTCCACCACATCACTGCCTAATGCATTCCACCTGTTAACTACTCTGACACTGAAAAGTTCTTTCTAACGTCCCTGTGGCTCATTTGGGTACTCAGTCTCACCCATGTCCCTTTGTTTGCGTATCACCCGTGTTAAAAAGTTTATCTTTATCTACCCTGTCAATTCCTATGAGAATTTTGGAAGTAGTGATCATGTCTCCCCTTACTCTTCTGTCTTCCAGTGTCGTGAGGTGCATCTTATGCAGCCTTTCCTCGTAACTCATGCCTCTTAATTCTGGGACTAGCCTAGTGGCATACGTCTGAACTTTTTCCAGCTATGTCTTGTACTTGACAAGGTACGGGCTCCATGTTGGGGCTGCATACTCCATGATTGGTCTTACATATGCGATATTCAAGGTTTTGAATGGTTCCTTGCACAGGTTCCTGAAGCCTATTCTGATGTTAGCCAGTCTTGCGTATGCCGCAGATGTAATTCCTTTTATGTGGGCTTCAGGAGACAGGTTTGGTATGATATCAGCTCCTAGATCTTTCTGTCCGTTTCATGAAGTACTTCATCCCCCATACGGTATCCTGTGTCTGTTCTCTTGTTTTCACCGCCTAGTTTCATTAACTTGCATTTACTCGGGTTGAATTTTAGTAGCCATTTGTTGGACCATTCATTCAGTCTGTCTAGGTCATCTTGTAACCTCCTACTATCTTCCTCTGTTTTAATCCTCCTCATAATTTTTGCTTTATCAGCAAACAATGAGAGGAACGATTCTATACCCTCTGGAAGATCGTTTACATATATAAGAAACAGTATAGGTCCAAGGACTGAACCCTGCGGGACTCCACTGGTGACGCCACGCTAATCTGAGACCTCACCCCTCACAGTGACTCGTTGTCTTCTGTTGCTTAGGTATTCCTTTATCCAATGGAGTACCTTCCCTTTCACTCCTGCCTGCATCTCCAGCTTTTGCACTAGTCTCTTCAGTGGTACTGTGTCAAAGGCTTTCTGGCAATCCAAAAATATGCAGTAGGCTCACCACCTCTCTTTCTTGCCTGATTTTTGTTGCCTGGTCGAATGTGTGAACGTTTGTGTGATGTGTGATTGTGTGATGTGTGGATGTTTGAGTGACGTGTGGATGTTAGTGTGATGTGTGGATGTTTGAGTGATGTGTGGACGCTTGAGGGGCAGTTGTGGTGTGTGGTGAAGCTTGACAGCTGACTTACTAAAGACACCGTGAGCCACAGGACGACCGCGGAATATATCTTGTGCTGTGCAGGTGTCAAAGGTGCAGTGTCTGGAGAAGGAAGCCGGTCTGGTAGAGGAGCAATACTGCAGCGGCCAGTCTCGACCAGACGACCACACCAGGTCATGCAACACCCACGCCTGCCCTGCCTGGTGGTGGTCAGGGCCCTGGCAGCCCTGCGCCATCACGTGCGGCAGCGGTGGCATCAGGAGGCGCACCGTCATCTGCGTCCGCTCCTTTGGCCCCAGCGAGCAGATGGCGCTGCTGGATTCTGCGTGTGAGGAGAGCGAGAAGCCCCACGAGACAGAGGTGTGCCCACAGCTGCCCCTGTGCCCACAGCTGCTGGAGTGGAGTGTGGGGCCCTGGTGCCAGGTGAGTCCTCTGCCAACAGTCTGCTGCTGCCTGGCTAATATTTTGTCCGTAACTTCTGAATTTTACACATCTTAGTCCTATGGTCCTATTACCATTAACCCTTGAACAGCGCAAAACATACATATACGATTGGACATAGCAATATTTTTTTCAAACTAGCACAAACACTTTCCAGTTTTTTGGTGCATAATCAACTAGGCAAATGCTCCAACTTTGTCTAAATGAACACCAACCTAACTTATAAAACAAGAAAATAAAAATTAAAAACAATTTTAAAATTGAACAATGAAAACTTTAGATTTTCGAATCAGATTAAGAAATAAAAACAATTAAGAAATAAAAAACAATCACAATTGTTCATTTGGTATTATTATGCTCTCAGTATAGTATATGACCTTCATTTTCATCAAATAAGAATATAAGTTTTCAGTATAGGTTACTGTAAAAAAATATCAATATGGCATTTGAAATATGCGCGAAATTTAGACAAGAAAATGAATAACTCCAAATGTATAGGGTTTATGAAGAATCCATTCTGAAGGAACTGTAGAACAGACAGCTGAGCACATAATATGTTAAAATGGTGAGAATTGCTCAGAAACTGGAATTTTATAATCCACTCAAAAGTTGAAACTCTAGTTTTAGAGAATGTTGAAGTTATCGACAATTAATAACGGTAGTTCTAATTCGTTAATTTAATTGAAGGTTTTTGATAAACACTGTTTGTCATTCGTACTTCGTACTCGAATATGTGAAAGTTGTAGGTCAATATGTGTTGAAATGAAGTCAAGAAAAAGTTAGCCCCTCTCCAAAAAAAATAAATATAAGGATTATTTTAATGATTTAGGGGATATATTTAGGGTATACTTTATAGAAGTGAAAAACCCCTAATCTGGTCCCAAATCATCAAAACAACCTAAAGAGACAAAGAAAATAAAGTTTGAAATCTGTAAAAAGTCAGCCAAAAAAATTCAAAGTCCCAAGTTCTGCAAGTTGTGACTGATTTATTTGTTGATCAATTTCATTCTATCTTCACATAGTTAGGGAAGAGTATGCACTCTCTAGGATGTAAAGGTTTCAACAAAATCAGATAATAAACAAAGGAGATTAAAAACTACAATCTTAAAAAAATCCCCTAAAAACTATATTTTATAGACATTAATGAATGTAACATATATTAACATTGGCCAATGTATTTATATGATATATAACAAAATAGAGCATAATAACATACTCATTATTATTCGTGTTATTATGTATTACTCAGCAATGCTATAAAGGCACCAACTGCGTATCCACTTTGTGGACAATTTTTACTACTATTCTTCTTTGTGTGTCGGACTGGTGCTTGCATCTCTTTATCACTGCATTATCCCTCACTTCCAATTAATAAGAGCTGTTCTCCTTATCTTTCAATTTGATGAAAGTTTTACGACGTTGCCGCCAATAAGTTGGAGATTTGTTTCAAATTTTTAAGTTATTTTTACATAATTCAAATTTTTTTGCTTCCTGGCCGCATATGCTGAGCGGTTTAAGGGTTAATGACAATATTATTGCTACCGTTCTGACTGATGTAGAATACTGCCATGCCATCTTTCACAACTTTCTCTAGTACTATACTTTTCAATATACCCCGGTCAGTGGAGCATATTCCTAACATTACATAGTTGGAATCTTAACTCGCCGGTCATACTCCATCTCCCCACGAGGCTTTCCAGCTCTATATACACACAGTTTCCCTGAGATATTGCTGCTTGTATATACAACTGGTCTAACCAGTTACATAACACAGGTGGTGTAACACAGCAGAAGGTAACCTCCGTGTTGGTGTTTTGACAGTCGTGCAGCCTGGACCCGTGTGACTTTGAGGAGCGCGAGGTGCTGTGTGTGGCGGCGGGGGGCAGCTGTGACCCCCTCTCACGTCCCCCAGACAGGCGTCAGTGTGGTAACATCACCTGCGGTGTGTGGCAGGTGGGCACCTGGTCCAAGGTGAGTGATACCTGTAATATAATGCTTCTTTAACCCTTAAACTGTAACATTTTTTTTTTTTTGAGATATATACAAGAGTTGTTACATTCTTGTACAGCCACTAGTACGCGTAGCGTTTCGGGCAAGTCCTTTATCCTATGGTCCCTGGAATACGATCCCCTGCCGCGAAGAATCGTTTTTTCATCCAAGTACACATTTTACTGTTGCGTTAAACAGAGGCTACAGTTTAGGAATTGCGCCCAGTAAATCCTCCCCGGCCAGGATACGAACCCATGACATAGTGCTCGCGGAACGCCAGGCGAGTGTCTTACCACTACACCACGGAGACTGTCAACGTAGGTCACTGCACACTTAAGGGTACATCAATGTGCGCGGAAAACCACAATGAATAAAGGTGTGGGAAATTTATGAGTGGGATTATATTTTAAATATTTTTATATTTTATTTATTAAATCATTTATGTGGTACTTTTCATGTTAAATTATTTATCCTCAAGTGGACTGTATAGGATACGTTTCTCCCACTAATAAACTCCCCCACCCCCACCCATCTTGGGGGGTTGTGTAATTAAATGTTGCTACACCGTAATTAAACGATTAGCACGTTATTAAATTTCATTAAACGGTTAATGGATAAATTCAATATATTGACATGTCATTAATTAGTATTTAAGAATGGTTAGTATAACTAAAGTTTTGTCAGCTTTCTGACTTGAAAGCTGCGAGTCAAATAGGTCAGGTTTGGTGTGCGTATATCGGCACGGCGCGCTCCGTCCATCACGCCCCGGGGTAACATACGATAATGGCATCTCCCTCACCCCCTACACGCTTGTATTACGAGGCGCGCAACCCTTCCTCCTAATAGACAGTACGTTTAAATACTTATTACATTAAGTACATTCCTGACTGGCTGCATAGTAAATAATTACACTTAGTGTGCTGTTACATTTACCTCCCCATATATTCTCATATTCTGTTAATACACTAAAAATTTTTAGATTGAAGTTTTCGTGTTCAATTCTATTTACACAAGTTTTAAATCTAAAGAATTACTTTTTCAGCTCTATTAAACAATAGAGATTTTATACAAAATTTGAAATTATCCTGAGTTACTTTATAATTTATTGAATGACTTTAGTTTTGTTTTATTAGTTTTATAAAATTGTAATATCAATATAGCTATAGGTTAATTACTAAGTGTAATTAAGAAGCAAATAAATGCTATTTATTTATTTATAAATACATGCTTGTCTTCCTACACTCCAAGGTTAGGTTAGGTCGTGGTTTTCTATACAGCTTTTCAGGTTAACTCTAATATTCACAATTTTATGGTGCGATGCTGGCGATTAAGTGTATTTATGTACTTTGCCGATAGTCAGGATTGTACTTATTACATTTAGTATTATAGCGTACTCTCTATTCGGAGGATGGGCTGGAGGCATGGTATGAATATTCGTTTGTTAGGATGGAGTTGCTTTAGACATATTATTTAAAATTGTTTATTAAATTAATTTAATGAAACCCCCCTGACTGCAAACTTGAAGAGTTTAAATATCGACGAAAATTTGCCTGATATGTTATATTTATTGAGACAATTTAGCGTTTTCTCCTCAGAGAATGGAGAATTAAATTTAAATGGTTCTTATTCAGGTATATTTAGTTATATTAAATTCTCTACCACAACAGAAATCAAATTATTTAGTGTAGGTTTAATTGTACAAACTTAAATAAATATGTGGGATATTTTCCCACACAAGGAGCTGGACAGTGTTCAAGCATCCAGGTCCAGCATCCAGACAGTGTTCAAGCATCCAGGTCCAGCATCCAGACAGTGTTCAAGCATCCAGGCATCCAGTGGCACTGCCTCAATGCTCGAAAACGTTACATCTCCTTGACTTATTCACTGTGGTTATCAGCATATATATATATAATCAGTGTTTCATGACCATTGGTACATATTTATATATATATATATATATATATATATATATATATATATATATATATATATATATATATATATATACAACATGCTCTCACACAAGACTGCACATATATGACTTATTGCTTATTGTCACTATTTGGCTTATAAATAAGTAAATATGTGATATACTCCAAGCTATTTTTTTTCAAGGCACTAACTTTTTCACTCAGTTTTATTAAACAATAGAGATTTTATACAAAATTTGACAATATCCTGAGTTACTTTAACATTTATTTAAATGTTTTAGTTTTGTTTTGTTATTTTGATAAAACTGTAATAACAATATAGGTATAGGTTCAGTACTAATTGTAATATTTTAACATACTAAGAAGGTTAGGTTAGGTTGTGATTTTCTATTCAGCTTTTCAAGGTAAACTCATATATTCACAATAAATTCGTATGTCACATAGGCACTTATTCATAAGTAAGATATTGACTAAATTCTGGGTTGATATATATATATATATATATATATATATATATATATATATATATATATATATATATATATATATATATATTATTAAATATGATCGAAAAAGTAAGATTAATAATTCAAACACGAATTTTCTCGATATTTCTAATGTTTCTTTTCACTGTTGATGGTAATTTAAAAATCAATTCTCCAAAATTTATTTTTATTTCTAGTCTGACACGACACTTGAACTCGTTTCGTAATAACTTATTACATTTTCAAAGACTTTTAGTTTACACACACACAACTATAACTTGCAAACACTAAACATAGTTCTTACTATGCTATGATTTAAACAGCTTTCATTTTTCATTTTATACCCGCATTTTGGGTGAGGTGATATGTTACAACAGTTTTGGATGAGGTGAACAAAACTTTCAACACAGGATAGAACACGAAACAATGGATATTGAAGGTAAGAATGGAAGTAACTGCAGAGGGCCTATTGGCCCATATTTCTTGATGCTTCTATATTGGAGCGGAGTTTTGAAGTGGGTAGAATATAGTTGTGCATTAATTGGCTGTTGATTGCTGGTGTTGATTTCTTGATGTGTAGTGCCTCGCAGATGTCAAGCCGCCTGCTATCGCTGTATCGCTGTATCTATCGATGATTTCTGTGTTGTTTGCTTAGATTTCTCTGGTGATGGTCTGGTTGTGGGAAGAAATTATATGTTCCTTAATGGAGCCCTGTTGCTTATGCATCGTTAATCGCCTGGAAAGAGATGTTGTTGTCTTGCCTATATACCGAGTTTTTTGAGGCTTACAGTCCCCAAGTGGGCATTTGAAGGCATAGACGACGTTGGTCTCTTTTAAAGCGTTCTGCTTTGTGTCTGGAGAGTTTCTCATGAGTAGGCTGGCCGTTTTTTTTGGTTTTATAGTAAATCGTCAGTTGTATCTTCTGATTTTTGTCTGTGGGGATAACGTTTCTATTAACAATATCTTTCAGGACTCTTTCCTCCACAGCTCATAAAACGGAGGAAAGGGTCCTGAAAGATATTGTTAATAGAAACGTTATCCCCACAGACAAAAATCAGAAGATACAACTGACGATTTACTATAAAACCAAAAAAAAACGGCCAGCCTACTCATGAGAAACTCTCCAGACACAAAGCAGAACGCTTTAAAAGAGACCAACGTCGTCTATGCCTTCAAATGCCCACTTGGGGACTGTAAGCCTCAAAAAACTCAGTATATAGGCAAGACAACATCTCTTTCCAGGCGATTAACGATGCATAAGCAACAGGGCTCCATTAAGGAACATATAATTTCTTCCCACAACCAGACCATCACCAGAGAAATCTAAGCAAACAACACAGAAATCATCGATAGATACAGCGATAGCAGGCGGCTTGACATCTGCGAGGCACTACACATCAAGAAGTCAACACCAGCAATCAACAGCCAATTAATGCACAACTATATTCTACCCACTTCAAGACTCCGCACCAATATAGAAGCATCAAGAAATATGGGCCAATAGGCCCTCTGCAGTTACTTCCATTCTTACCTTCAATATCCATTGTTTCGTGTTCTATCCTGTGTTGAAAGTTTTGTTCACCTCATCCAAAACTGTTGTAACATATCACCTCACCCAAAATGCGGGTATAAAATGAAAAATGAAAGCTGTTTAAATCATAGCATAGTAAAACTCTGTTTAGTGTTTGCAAGTTATAGTTGTGTGTGTGTAAACTAAAAGTCTTTGAAAATGTAATAAGTTATTACGAAGCGCGTTCAAGTGTCGCGTCAGACTAGAAATAAAAATGAATTTTGGAGAATTGATTTTTCCATTACCATCAACAGTGAAAAGAAACATTAGAAATATCGAGAAAATTCGTGTTAGAATTACTAATCTTACTTTTTCGGTCATATTTAATAATATATGTCTACAGGAAAGACTGCTACCAAAATATACTAATATATATATATATATATATATATATATATATATATATATATATATATATATATATATATATATATATATATATATATATATAATCAAGAAACAAATTTGTAAAATTAAATAATAATTTTTTTTTTCAATTGTGCATTTGTGTGTTCAGGTGAGGTGTCTGGTGCAGCCGACGGCTTAATATAATCCGTCTAGACTTAAATCAAAATTCAATCTATGACTTTATACATAAAGTATAAATGCACCATCATTTAAGCAAACAAAAGGAATTATTGCATTTCCATTTGCACAGAAAGTCATACTAATAGCATGACACTTGTAATTGTGACACCATTATAATTGTATATCGAACTAGTTGGGGTATCCGGCGGTGCCCGGGGTAAACCCCAAAGGGTTGCACCATTCAAGTGGTGCGAACACTTAAATGGTGCAATGTTTTTCACTTAAATGGTGCAATGTTTTTCAATTAAATGGTGCAATGTTTTTCACTTAAATGGTGCAATGTCACTTAAATGGTGCAATGTTTTTCACTTAAATGGTGCAATGTCACTTAAATGGTGCAATGTTTTTCACTTAAATGGTGCAATGTCACTTAAATGGTGCAATGTTTTTCACTTAAATGGTGATGTC